CAGACCTTGTCATCTATTAGCATGAAACTGGTGTTAGACTTAATTGAAAACTTCAAGTGGGATTAGATCGATTCATCAGCATCTGTGGAGTTGATTGGCGCACAAAATTTATATTCCAAGTGAATGCGCTCATAAGATTGACGAAAAAGATTTACTTCAGTCTTTTTTTAAAAAGAACATTTCTGTACATTTCGCCGTATATTGTAAGGCTTTTGAGGAAGAAAGAGTCATATGGGATTGAAAATTTTACGTTATGTAGAACTCGTGATGTTCTACTTTGAGTGGAAGTTTGTACGTAGTCGAGCAACAGAAACTGAGAAAATACGTCAGCAAATAACACTGTTCGACAAGTATTTAACACATTAAAATCGTGTTCATGTATCGGCGATTGTTCTTAACAATTAGTTTTCGAATTTTAAACCTCCCAGACTGGAATGTACTCATGGAATGCGAGGGACAACATGAGAGAAAAGAGAAAAATCAAGTTCTGAAATCGAAGCAGAAGAACAGGAATGATAGAAAAACACTTGGAAAATATGATCTTATGAAAAAATTGCGAATTACTCATACATAGTTCTATGATTTAGTATATATCTTGCTTTGGTAGATCCAGATCGACTATCTCGAAAAAAATTTAAAAATCCAACAACAATATGAGACTAGTGTTGACATATATAAATGTTTACCATTTTCGTTATGACACTACCATACATCTGCCTTTTATAGTTTGTTAGACTGACATGAAAACGATGTTTTTTCTTTCTATTCTACGCCTTTTATTTTCGATAAAGACGAGGAAAAATCAGAGAATATGTAAGCTACATGAATTTCCTTTCTTATTTGTTATAAGCTGTGGTCTATTATAAAGTTAAGCGATATGGAGCCTTCAATTCTTCTGTTTTCTTTCACTCATTCTTACTTTTCTCAGTTTTGTTCTGTTTTTGAAAGATCAATCATGCAGGTCATTTTTCAGTGGCAAAGTGAACATACAGATATACCTACACTCAAACAATCCCTTTTTTTTTTCTTTATATCTGACTATTCTAAATGTATCGTCTCATGCCTATTGGCTGACAAACACGTCGATCACTTTCAATCATCTCTATTCAGTCTATAATATATTTTCTCTCAATAAGTCACGACCACTGCTTTTACTTTTATGTCTTTCAGATGTCTATTATAGAACTTCTTCTCTCAGCCCTTGCCACTCTCACGGTCACTGTTCTCATTCTCAAACGTACTCTTCTCATCGGTCAATTTATTATCTACCTAAATTCTCTTACCTATCGTTACAATAAACTCTACTTGCGTCCGCATCGTATTATCCTTGTACATCATGGTGAATCACAGGGAAACATCAATGAAAGTATTTACAGCAGAACTCCTGATGCACACATCAGTCTAACACAACTCGGAAAAGATCAAGCAATTGAAGCTGGGAAAAGGTTAAAGGAAGAGGTTATCAATGGTGGTCCAAATGAAAGCATTTACGTCTATCTAAGTCCTTATATACGCAGTAAACAGACTTACGAAGGAATTTCAAAGTAAGAAACTTCAAAGAAAGTTCTCCTGAGCTCATCTACCATTTTTTGAAGAATGACTGAATTGTCAAATTTGACACATAATCTCTTTTACAGATTCGGATTAATCATGTCAAACGACGATTATCAGTAAAAAAAATTAAGAACGAATATTGACTCATTTTGACCGATTTATAGAAAATTCCAAATGAATATGTGGAGGAAACCGTGAAGTGAATTTTTGAAAAGCTTCACTTGCATATCTGACATTTTTTGTTTGTTCTGTTTGAGCAAGGTCTCATTTAAAAGGCCTTGTAAAATAGAATAAGGCTGCCTCTTGTCGTGTATCCAGAAAGTGTAACTTCGACAAGAAAAATGGTTTATTTAAAAAAAAACCTGAGTTTTCTTAGAACCGATCATCACTAGTTGTGAGCTTTTTCTGGCCGGCAAAATGAAATCATAGAGAAATAAAAAGGATTCAGTGTAATCCGTATGGTATTAAAATGTGAAACATGATGGAGCCACTTTCACTGTGCATGAAAAGTCTCAGCATACTGATTATGATTCACAAAATGATCAAAAGAGTAGCATGTCGGAATGTTTGTTACGGTCTATGATGGAGGGATCCAAATTTCTCGCCATATAATTTCAATAGTAATTTTGAATCGTATTTCACAAAAGCATAGAAGTTGTAGAGCATGAAATTCTGTACAGGACTAGCACTTCAAGGCTTCGAACGAAGTATTATGCCTTCGTCGAATTTGGAAAGCAAGACGAAAACTGAGAAATGGCTTCAATTTTTCCAGTTTTCTCAATCAAAATGTGATCGAAATTTACAGGTTATACCAGATTGATAAACAGCGTGAAAAACTACATTGAACGATGTGTCTTTTATCCCATTAAGCAACTTTGGAAACGGCCAAGAGTCGTAACTTGAAAGCTTAAATCACATGTTTCATGAGTTATTGACCATGTTAGTTATGTTGGTCCCTTTGAATAAGCGAAAATTATTTAGTGCAGTTCTGGACGCTGATTCCGAATATGACCTTGGTATCGAGTTTTAGCGAAGTTTTCGTTGAGAAAATCTGAAAAAGTGCTTACGAGTTATCACCTTTTTTTCCGAAATTCGACCGTTTTTCGATGATTGTTGAGAAACCTGAGACGCTACCCTTGTGCAGAATTGCCAGCTATACAATCTCGACATGTTTTCTTCTTCATCACCTTAAGATTTTTGCCTGTCAAAACTTGTTTCGAAGAAGTAGTAGTAAGCTTTGAGAAAAGCTTTTTTCTCTGTGAAGATCTCGATTTTCGATTGCATGACAAGAGACATTTTTGTTTTACTTTAGAAATTCTTTCAAATGAAACTTTGCCAGAACAAAGCAGACAAAAAATGCGTGAATTATAAGCGTCATATAATTCACATTTTCAAGGTTTCCTCAAAATGTTCATTTTGTATGACGTATAACTGCATCAAACCAAATGAAAGCTCGCTCAAAATTCTGTCATGACTTCAGCCTTTTTTTGTAGATTTCGAATAAGTAAAAAAAGAGTAGGTTCGTTTTGCTCATTCAAGTGGCGTTTTCACTAGCACTAGAGAAACTCTCTTTAAATCTCACTCTAGTCTTGTGCACAACTAATGTACCTACACTTCTTTTGTTTTCAGGTCCTTCTTACCCTCTCAAATTCTCAAAGTCCGTGAAGATCCTCGTCTACGTGAACAAGAATGGGGCAATCTTCTCCATCCGGATATTCGTCGAACTGAAATGGCAGAGCGGAAAAGAGTTGGTGATTTCTATTTTCGATTCACTAATGGTGAAAGCGGAGCTGATGTCTATGATCGGTGTAGTCTCTTTCTCGACACCTTATTTCGGGAGAATTTCAAAGGACAAACTCGGAAAGTTGATAATATTTTGATTGTCAGTCATGGTCTCTTTATGAGACTCTTCCTCATGAGGTATTTTAAGTGGACAATTGAAGAACATCATAGATGGAGAAATTTTAAAAATTGTGAATATTGTGTGTTGGAACATAATAAGGAGACAGGATCCTATGAATTGAAGACTAAGTTGGAAGAAAAGAAGAGTGCAGATGAAGAATGAATTTATTTTGAATTTATTGTTGGTTTGTTTTTTTAATTAAATCGAATCAAATAGTCGTCAAAATCTCCTTGAAATCATTCTTTGTGCTTCATCAAACGATTTTCTTATTCATATTGATGTCGATGAGCTTTGTGTCTGATCAATCCATTAAATCGTTGGGGACGAATTTTTTTTTGAAAAAATTAAGTTTTTTATTAGAGTGAAAATACATGTTTATTCAAGTAAAAATCATTATCAAAAGTGTTTTAGGGTATGATAAGCTTGAAAACAATCAATTATGCATAACCGAACATCACATTCTTTACACTGATATCTAGTATATTTTTACTGACTTTTCACATTTATTGTGTGAGGGTGTGGATATAGAATTGGATTTAATGAACACCCACACCCTTCATCTAATTGATGATTAGGTTTTTATTTCTTTTAAGTAAATAAATCACTAAAATTAAATATAATTGTTGTCATTATCTAACCTAAACTAAATGTGACTGTACCGCAAAAAAATAGTTTCATTAGAAAAAAAACATGATTTTTATCCATCGATATAATATCACATATTGATGGTAATATACTAATGATAAGAAAAAGAAAAACAAGAACAAAATGAAAATAAATTAATAATCAAAGACGTGATTTTGTCTCTATACTAACACAATCATGTGTAGCTATACGTTCACGTTGATGAAAATCATTGCCATCAGTACTCGCAATACGTTATAAGCCTGAAAGAGACATCTGAAATAAATGTTAAAAAAAGAAATTTTATATTGATTCATTAAACTAACAAATTATCGTGAATAAAACACAATAAAATAAAAAAATAAATAGATCATTTTTTTTCAGTTTGAGACTATAAATGTGAATATTTTTATTATAATCATACCATATTGGACTATTTGTTATAAGAAGAATTTGCTAAGTTATTAAAAATAAGACAAAGAAACTTCGAAGAATTGATGTTGTACAAATGCATGAGAGTGAAAGGGAAGAATAATCGACAAGATCAAACAATCATGCCTCGAATGGAAATAGGCAAGCTAAAATTTAAAACTAAGAATATCATTAAAAGATTTCATAAGCGATTTACTTCAAGTCAAAAGTACGTAAGATACACCATGCAACGAAAATTATTTCTAATTCAATATTGTATGATCTTCATCTAATAGAGAGCTGAGAACCCTTCTAGATGTATGGCCGGCCAGACATTCGACGAAATCTGGATTCAAAGTTTTCGTTTGTTTTTCGTTGGGTCTGACTCTGCATGCAAATTAATTGTCCGAGTCAATATCAATTCTATTTCTACTCTAAATAGACAAGATTCATAATCACTCTATCATACACTATTTTTCTTTTCATAAGTTTGATATCTTTGATTTAAATGCTACTAAAACTCTGCAATACGACTGATGATTTTGATATTATTCCTGATTTGACAATTTTAATGATAAATATTGTTGAAAAAAACCTAGGCTATGAACTCGACTAAGTTCGGGTCTACAAAAAACGTGTATTCGCAACTCTCTACTATACAATCTCTGAAATCGAGCGTCGTTTGCTTCGTACTTCAATTTGCTACAACTTAATTTTTATTCTTCAATGTAATTTAAAATTATATCAAAGAATTATTTGGGATCGTGGTCCTACAGTTAATCAAAATTCTGGTTATTTTCGTTCAAATCTTGAAAAAATATTTTGGTTAACAGAATCTTCAATTGGTTGTTCATTACCACCGAAATTTTTATCGTAATAAATTACCAGAATATTTTAAAAGTTCCATATAGCGAATAGCACCTGATCAAAAAAACTTACATCCAGCTCCATTGCCACAATTATTAGCTAAAATTTGTATTTTAACAACAACGGATCAAGGTAATCTTCGAATGAATATCAATGAAATTTTGTTCTTTGATGTTGTGTTAGATCCATTTGCTGGATCTGGTACAACACTTGTATCTGCGGCGAAGATTAAACAATCATTTCGTAGTTTTGATATTAGTAAAAAAATATCAAAATATGTTTCAAAAACGATTAATTAATTCAAATACTCAAGTAAATCTCTGGGAATAAATGCTCGTCGTAGAAAAGTCCTTAATCGACGAATTAGAAATGGTTGTGTTGAATATTTGTTGAAATAGAATGGTTTTGATCATGATCAAAATACTGTAAATTGAATTTCTTGTTTTTTTTCTTTATTTCTTATTTTAACTTTTGGGTTATTTAAAAGAAAATGAAAAGAATACATAGGAGAATATTTTATCTAAATTTATTTTACTTGAAGAGCGAATAATTGAAATGTTGTTTTGGTTTTTTTCTCATTTAGTGGGAGGACAAGTACAATTTACATTGTCCAGAATTACTCAAACAATTCGAATCATCATTAAAATATCGGAAAAGAAAAAAAAGATGCATCTTCAACTAAAGTAAGTCATCGCTACCATTATATTTTAGTTACATGAAATGTTTCTTTATTTATTTAGTCACTTATATACAAAAGAAAGGTTATTTCGTCGGCTATAGAAGAACTTGATGAAAGACCAGCCAAACGCATTGCTAATATGAAATTATCATTGAAGAAGAAAAATGTAACTGATTCGTGTGATGATGAAGATTGTCATCATACGGCGTGATATTCATTATCAAATGGTCCAGTGAACTCAATCAGTATTCTAAACACTTGAGCGATGAGCAGTTATCTTAATCTTGTAATTTTTCATTTGTATCTTGTTCTATACGGTTGAGATACTGCAGTTGCTTTTTTTGTATTTTTCTATTATGTTTATTCATAGTACGTAAACAAATTGTCGTGTATGAATAAATATTGTCATGACAGTACTTCTCAAATATCTTCATTAGGCTTTTTCCTAATTGTCAAGCATACGAATTAGAAGATTAATTGAAAATCAAGATATTCTAAGAAAAGTTTTGTGCCTGACTTGTTCTATTCGAATGTCACAATTTATATCATATATGACTTATTGTTTTTTTTTTGCGCTCAATTTTATTTGTTGCGAAAATGAATTATATCATTGGCTGCAAGAGCAAATCCTTCACATACAAGCGCTTGTATATGTCCACCTGTCTGTTAAACTAATCGAATAGTAATACTAATATGCACTTGATTTTTTATTTCTTTTGTGGAATAGAGTGACAAAAGAATAGAGATCCACAAAAACGAACATTTTCATCGAATGAATCAACATTATAATAAAGTAAAGGAATTTGAAATGTATAAAGAAAATCTTGTCAGTGTAGCCTCTTTAGCGACTAAAAATGTGAAACTGTTATCTATCATATCGCATCTATCTGTAATGAAAAATAGAGAAATCTGTGAAACTTCACTTTAAAATTTATACTCATTATTTTCCTTTGAAAAATACATGTAACTTCTACAAAACAGCTTTTACTTCATAAATTATGCAGAAAAACTCGTATTTGGACTGTTGTAGTAACCATACTACCAACACCAAAATGACCTGAAAGCACGTTTTTTTATGTAACTTTTAATAGAAACAAGATAGAGAGTTACAGTTTTCGTCATTGAAAAGAGGAGATAAAGACGTATAGAAACCTACATCACAAGTTTTTCTAAATATATTTTCTAGCCTTTTTAAAATCAATTTTTCAAAAAAAGGGTATCGGAAAAATAGATTTTATCAAAAAGGAAAAAAAAGAAAAAGATACTATTTTTCACATGAGTTGCTAGAAAAACCGACTTCTAGTTTCGAGTAGAATACTTATAACTCCTGAACGATTCAAGCTAAGAAGCTGAGCAGTATACAGTTCTATAGATGTTCAATTGTCACTTTCAATAAATATCAGACAGTTGAAAATTCTTTGTAGTCAACTATCAAAAATGTTATTTCACAGAAAGCTTAATTAAAAACCTTAAAAAAACCAAGTCAACAAGTCTATAATCTACGATTCCATGCGTCTTAATCTCCTCTTTCTAATAGTGAAAACCGCATCTCTCTATCTTGTTTCTATCAAAAGTTATATCAAAAATACGAATTGCAATCATTTTGTCGTTAGTCGATATCTTGAGACTTACATATAATAAAAAGTCAATTACTTCTGTCATACTTTAAAAGAAAAAGGAATTAGTCAAATTGATCAACAGTAACCATCATTGTTGCGAGTAAACATCTCAAATCAAAGAGCACAATATAATTGTATATCGCTTATAATATATAATGAGGCGCAGAAGATCTCTCCTGTCGTGTGTGGGTGTGACTAAAGAGAGGATTGATACGCACACCCTCACCCACACACCCACACCTGATGGTGTGTGTGAATGAATCTGAGTCAAGATTAATGTTTACAGGAATTTTCAAAAATTGCTATCTGCTTGGGAAGCGAACATGATTCATTGGTTCTCATATATCGATTTCTGATCAAATGCCG